GTTTTCCATTTCTAGCTTGATGAAGAATAACATGCACAATTTTTGTGCTGTCAGAGAACAAATAGGATACTGACATATTTTACATAGCTAATTTTGTGTTATATTCTGTTTGAGACAGTTTAAACTGGTTCTTTCTTCGGATGTGGAAGCGGCAAAGGTCGGACAGTTTTAATGCCTGTGTGTGTGCACCTGTTGGAAACACCTCCCTTGGTGTCCCCCTCTGCCCTCCTTAACGCTGGGTGCTGCGCAAAGCTCCCTCTGAGCCTGGTAGACCCCTGTACACCTTCATCCCTCCACACCCTCCTCACGCTCGGCGGAGGGGGACTCCTGTTTCCAGGGTGTGCAGCAGAGGTTCAGCCTGTAGGAGGCTGCGACTGGCCCGTCCGGTTCATCAACCTGCTCGGCCCGTTCCCGCTGAGGCAGCTGGGGCGTGTTCCTTGGCACCTCTGTGCCTCAGTCTCCTTCTCTAATTAAAATGGGGCTGTCGCCATGGCTGGTTTGGCTCAGCGGTTAGAGCATTGGCCTGTGGTCCAGAGAGACCCGGGTTCGGTTACCGCTAAGGGCGTGTATCTCGGTTGCAGTTTGTCCCCGGCCCAGGTTGGGGTGTGCGGGTGGCAGCCACTCGATGTGTCCTTTTCACATTAATGTTTCTCTCTCTCTCCCTCCCACTCTATCTGAACAAAAAATGGAAAAATGCCCTCAGGTGAGAAGAAAAAATAAATAAATAAAATAAAATAAAATAAAATAAAATAAAATAAAATAAAATAAAATAAAATGGGGCTGTCACACCACCTCCATCACAGGGCTGCAAGAGGGCTACATGTGATGTTATAGATAACGTACAGTTGATGGGCACTTGGCCATCACACTAGGCCCCCATGGCATTCCACACACCCCGCAGGCACACACAGGGCTTCTGTAGAGAGGCTGCCTCTGATGTCCATCTGCTGCCCTAAGGCCCCCACAGGGCCTGGCACTCCGCAGGCCCTCAGCACACCTCACTGTACTGGAGCCTTCTTCGCAGCGTGAGGAGTGCCAGGGACAAGACACGCACGAGGCGCGGGTCTGCGGTGTCCGTGCCCGCGCAGTGCCCGGCTAAGAACCCGCGCCCCTCTGTACCACCCGAGGAGCCCAGCTCCTCACCCACCTCCACACTCCCAAAAAGCACTGAGGTTTTCTGAAGATGAGAAATTTCACAGCATCTTGCTATCTTTTGGGTAACTGCGTATTTTATGATGACTAATAGGCAATTACTATGGTAATATTGCAATCCAGCATGTGTGAGGTTTGGGAAATGAGAAATTATGGGTAACTACTTTGGACTCATTTCTATGGTAACAAAAAGTAATTGTCATTAAATACCGGTTATACTGAGGCTGTACCTGGTAATTATAGATTTTTATGCCCAGAAACATAAATAAAACCAATAAATTTATTCAGAGGTCTATGACTGTTTACTTATATGTGGCTCTATGGAATACACAATGACAAGCACCTAATTAAGAAATGCAAACCCAACACAGAGTTTCATACTGTCATATGGAGATAGAGTCTATTTTTCAAGTGCAAGGCAACTTGTGCACTACACATGCTGGGGAGAGACCGGGTGGGGCCCAGGTGGAGGTGGGCTGCCTTCCCTGCGGAGGGAGGCGGAGGCAGTGCCGGTGGAGGCAGCAGAGACAGAGGCCGCGCAGACGCTGCAGTGCGTGTGGCAGCCAGCCCGGCTGACGGACGCCCAGAACTGCCAGTGACCCCGACAGACTCCCAGGCCCCAGCCCCCCGGCCTTCCAACTAGGAGTTGCCTTGCAGCTTGGCTTTGTAACACCTGAGGTTACAGTGTTCATCCCTCAAGGCCTCTAGGACCCAGTCCCCCAGAACTCTACAGAGATGCTCACATCGCATCAGCAGTCACACCATTATTTTTTGTATTATTGTGGTAAAATACACATCACATCCAATTTACCATTTTAATTATTAACAATTTACCATAAATAATTATTTAATTACCATATTTAATTATTATAAATGTACTTTAATTAAGTACATTTATATTGTTGTGCTAACATCACCATAACCTGTCTTCAAAACTCTTCTCATCTTGTGAAGCTGAAAGTATCCCGCTAAGCAATAACTCCCATTCAGCTTCCCCCAGCCCGTGGCAACCGCCATTCTGCTTTCTGTCTATGACCGACTACTTTAAGTAATAAGCTTCCTCCCTTCCTTCTCCTTTCCTCCCTCCCTTCCTCCTCCTTTCCCCCCTTCCTTCCTCCCTTCCTCCTCCCTTCCCCCCTTCCTTCTCCTTTCCCCCCTTCCTTCCTCCCTTCCTCCTCCCTTCCTCCCTTCCTTCCTTCCTCCCTTCCTCCTCCCTTCCTCCCTTCCACCCTTCCTCCTCCCTTCTTCCCTCCTCCCTTCCTTCCTTCTCCCTTCCACCCTTCCTCCCTCCCTTCCTCCCTCCCTCCTCCCTCCCTCCTCCCTCCCTTCCTCCTGCACTCAAGCTAACTTGAGAAGACCGTTATCTGAAAACAGAGATACCTTAACAAAGACCCTCCCCTTCACAGAGTGGTTGTGAGGATGAAATGAGGGAAATGTGGGAGACCTTGGCATGGCGCTAGGTGAGCGAACAGAATTCCCGGCGTGGCACCCCCCAGATGTGTGTTAGAACCCTAACACCACGGGGAGTGAGGAAAATGAGCCCGATAGGAAAAGGTTCCTTGACACCTTTGAAAAACACTAAATACTATATTCCCCTCTTAAGATTCCTGTTTATTAGCGTTTTTGAAACTAAAAAATCTTATTGAAAAAGAACATGTTTAACTTTTCTTAGCTCTGTGTTGCCCAAACTTACTCTGAATTCTTCCCGCACCCCCCGGAATGACGCAGGACCCCACCGAACTGTGGGAAATGGTGCGGTGACAGTGGGTGGCGCAGGGAGGGGCTGGCCCGGGGGACCTCTAAGGCACCCAGAGCTCTCAGCCTGAGTCTTTACGATGACTTCCCACGATGACTCCACATCGGCAGCAGTGAATTTTTGTGATTGATAGGCTCTTTTGTTGCTACTCAGAGCTGTTTTAGCAACAGGATTCATGCCTGTGGTTAGAGATTTTCTCCGTCCTCCTAATGAGAATCACACATTCTCACTAGGGTTGGAGCTCTTCCATTCTGAAATCCCACATCACAAAACCTGGGGCTCAAAGACACAGGAAAGCATCTACTTCCCCATCACCACCCCACTGGCCATCAGCAACCCAGAGAGGGGGGCATTTCGGCCAAGGTCACAGACCTTTCTCCAACTCATCATCCCTGGACAGCAGACGGTGACACAAATGTGTGTATGAAGTGGACAGCACTGCCCTCTCTCTGACCACTGCCGCTCTTGTAATTAAACAGAAATGTTAACATAAATCAAACGGTCATTCCACCACCACGGTCACTCACAGAACATCCTGTCCGGGGACAGTAGACAGACACTGCTCCCAGGCCTGCAGCCGTGAAGCCTGCCAGTGCTAATGAACCATTACTTGAGCCAATTAAGAAAGGAAGCAAAACTGTCTTTAATTAAGGCATCATGCATCCCATGGGCTCCCTCTAACTCATACCCAGGGGGACCAGGAGCCCCTGTGGGCCCAATTGCCACGCTCTTGGAAAGCAGTAAACCAGCTCCGTTAAAGATGAAGCTGGCTGGGTATCAGACAGTCTGGCTTCTGGTCTGAGCTCTGCCATCGACTTTGGGCAAGTCCCATGGCATCTCTGGGCCTCAGTTTCTTCATCAGTAAAGTCATTGCTTTCCTTCACTCATATTCATCAAACACTGTTTGAGGACCTGCTCTGCACTGATCCTTGAGGCCAGGCACTGGGGTATGCACAGAGACCACGAAGGCTCAGCTCCTGCTCTCTGGTGGCTGGAGGGTCAGTGGGGTCCAAGCAATGGGCTAAAACTGGCTCACTAACCCGCCGTGGGGGCTCAGAGAAGGCAGTGACCAATTCTGTTGGGGGGATACGGGGACGTTTTCCAGAAGAAGGGGCACAGCTGAGTTGTGCAGAGGGGTTAGTGAGATGAAGAAGGGATGAGGGGTTCTGGGCAGAGGGTAAGGTATCAGAGACCAACAGGACATGTCTACGGAATGAGGCTTTGCTTAGTGTGGCTGCAACAACAGTTCTAAGCGTGGAGCGTGAGAGGTGAGGCAGCAGGGTGGACAGACAGGCACCAGGCCATCCAGAGCCTCCATGCAAAGCTCAGGACTTTGTTTTCTTGAGAGTTGTCGTTGGACTAATCAGCAACAAAGCTGTATAATGTGGGCAGTGAAGTAAGACCATCAGTGGTTTACTTACTGGGTGTGTGACTGTGGGCAAGTCAGTTGCCTCAACAGTGAAATAAGGGTAACAGCACGATCTAAGAGGATCCAATGTTCTTTCAGCAGATGATCCCTGAGCAGTGGAATTTAGGCTGTGAATTATGGTGCTACCAAGAGAAAGAGAACCCAAGACATGAGTGCATGAGCGAGTGTGGGGCTAGCTGGTGCGCCCAAAACAAAGAAATTCTGTTCAGACGACCTGAGATGCCACTCCATCATTAATGATCTCAAAGAAGAAACACTGAAATGAAACAGTAATCATTATAACCCCCATATGACATTCTGCAAAGCACATTTATCCCCACCGTCTCTTCTGAGGCACACAAGTACCTGCCAGGTAAGTCATCATTATGCAAGAGAGACTGAGCATCAGAAGGCAAGGGAATTCCCCAAGGTTACATGAGGAGTAGGTGCCAAAACTGATATTAGGCTCCTGAATTTTCAGCAGACTTCCTGAAAACCCCAGCAAGTGATTGCAGGTGGCTGTGCATGAAACAGCCAAGGCTCAAGAGTCAAGGTGAAACTCTCTCTAATGAACTCATGGGGAGTCTGAATATCCTTCCTCAAAAACACATCCCCCTTTTCTTCCTGCTTCCATATCACCATCCCATGCCTTTTAGCTTCCTAGCACTCTCTCCTGTCGCTTACCTGTAATTGCCCAGGTAGACTCCATCAGGGTTGAGCATTGGTGCAATCTTGAAGACCAGGTGTTCCCTCAGGACACAGGCAATCGGGTGCTGGCTTACGAGGAAATCAATGATCCCTAGGGAAAGAGAAGCGTCTGGGTTAACCTCAAAGTGTTTTATAAGGAGGGAGCATGTTGTCCTCGGCTTGGAGAGCAGTGAGAGGTCAATAGGTGATGGGGTCCATGTTGTTAGCCACTGTGGATGTAGGGCTATGACTTAGGTGCTGCCCAGTGAATCTTATTAATGTATCTCTATTTCCAAGAGATAGTTCAAGGTGTCATATTGAAGCCCATGGGCAGGATGGAGACCATTTCCTGAGGCAAACACAGGAGGAGCTTCTGAGAAAAGACAGCACTTGAGCTGTGCCTTGGAGGGCCCACAGGGTTCTGACAGACAGAGAGGGGAGAGGCAGGATACTCTGAACAATGACTTAAGTTAACAAAATATTGACACTGAACTGATGACTATGATGTCAGGGAACTTAGAAATCTAAATCCTCATGCTGCTGATGGGCACACCAGGAAGCGGAGAGGAGAAGGGATTTTGCTAAAATCATGATGAGGAGAGAGGTTTCTTTCTCCAGTGCTCCCCAACTGCCCCTTTTCCCACTCTGAGAGGCCTTCCCAGATTCCCTCTTTGCTTCTCACTGGTACCCAAATCACCCTGCCTCCAGGTCACTAAGTTTAGAAAAGTTGAATTCTCCATGACTCTCCTTCCACAGTCAGGCAGTCTTCAAGTCTCTTCTTTGAATCTAGTGAAGATGCCCCATCCCATCTCTCTGCCTCTCTTCTACTCCATGTCACCCTCGCGTCTGGCCTGGATGACAGCAAACACCTCTGCGATGTGCCCTCAACAGTACAGTCAGAGGGATCTTCCTGAAGTGCACATCTGGCCCTGTCACTCCCCTCCTTGGTGGCCTCTGGTGATGGCCTGCATGTATGGACAGGAAGGGGAGGGCTCTGAGCCCCTGCCTGTTCCCTCCTCTTCTCCACCTTTCTTCTCTAAGACCTAAAAAAGTGGGCAGAATAGCACTCTGGCACCCCCTGAAATGACTGTGATGCTGGAACACACAGGAGAGTACACAACCCTCCCAAAGTGCAGAAGGGACTCCTTTCCTGCTGGGGAGCGAGGGAAAGGTCCCAGGGAGCAGCTCTGAGCTGGGCCCTGGAACATAAGTAGGCTTCGGCGGCCGTACAGGAAGAAGGCAGCAGGGTAACTAAGAACAATCTGTACACCCAGCGGCAGGCGCTTAGCTCTCAGAATTATAAACGGCTGCAGAGCACATTCCAGAGCTGCCTGACCAGCCAGGGACAGCTCAGGCTTTTTATTAGGCCAAGACGGAGTATCCATGGGCAGCCGAAAGCCAGTTGGACCTCGTTTACTTCTCGGCCGATGTGGCAGTAGACCAGATGCCCTAATTTATTTGTTGGTCTTCATAGTAAAGCTGCAGTTTGCCAGTAAACAGGCAGGGTAATGATGCCAGGCGCCCTTGTTAGGGGCTCATAATTGCTTAATCTGTCCACTAATTGACCCCGGCTCCCAGGGCGGCCCTTCATCAAGGAGCCAGCCTGCGCTCAGGGCCTGGCCACGCTGCCTCAGAGAATGGCTTCTGGAAATGGAGTAGCTCATTGTGATCCATCCTCCTTCACAGATGAACAGATTAATTGGGCTGCCAATTAGGCAGCTAATAAAAGGATGAGAGAAAACAAAGCCAGACCAGGGGCTGCAGCACCCAGAGCTCCCGCTCCCGGAGTTATGGTGGGGACGGAGAGGTTGCAGACTCATCTCCTGGCTTGAGGTCAGATACAGTTCAATAGGCACCATTCCCACTGATCGGGAAATGGGGAGGAGACCGTTCACTTGTTTTGGTGGGGAGGGTGGGTGGAGAGGAATATGAAGACGAATGTTGGAGAAAGTAAGAGTGGAGAGAAAATGCCATCCCTGGCCATGGGCCAAAGCATTGCCTGGGCCCAGGAAGCAGAAGGAGCTGGATTTGGGGCTTGTATTCAAATTCTAACTGCTTATCAGCTAGAGAAGTTACTGGCCTTCTCTGACTGGTTTCCTCACACTGAGCTCTGGATAATGATGCCTAGTCTGGAAGGCTGCTCGGTACCCACTGGAGAAGGACCTGGTGGGAACCTCACCGGGAGCCATCAGAACCCAGCTGGGGCTCCGGAGGGGCGAGGAGGATGGAGACAGCAGGATGAGTGCAGAGGGCCGGAGGAGAGGGGGAGGGGTCCCAGGCTGGGGAAGGCCCACAGGGAGGCTGGGCGGTGAGAAAGGAGGTGGCCCATTTGCTGACAGGAGCCCCTCAGTTCCAGGGGACACAGCTTCGGGTTTGAAGGCACAGACTGTGGAGCTGGACTGCGGGTCTGACTACCTTTGTGCCCTCCACCTCTCAGTTCCTGTGTCCTCCTCCGTTCAGGGAAAGAAGAACGATCCATTGTGAGGATCCCAGGGGCTCACAGAAGCGGTGTGTCTGGCACACAGGACAGGCACCCCGGAGTTCTAATCCTTGCTCTCACTTGGTGTGGCCGGAGGTGTGGGCGCGGAAGGGAGCTGACAGAAGAGGGAAACCAGGACCTGCTGGTCTGGCTGGAGAAATGGAGACCATTGCAGAGTGCAGGGCGGGGCTTGCACTCTGGAGGCTCTCCTGGCTCGGCTGGAATGCGGGTTGGAGTAAGTGAGGATGGCAGTGCGGGGGAGGGCAGAGAGGGGCGACATGGCAGAGAGCCAGCAGGGGTAAGGAGGCTGCAGTCAGGAGCCAGGGTCCGGCGCGGTGGAGACCTTCAGGCCTCTGCAGTGACCAGGGCCCAGACGGTCAAGAGGATGCAGCAGGTGTGGGGGAGCAATGTGGAGAGATGGAGACACCCAGGGCAAGATCTTGTGTCTACCGCCCCCCAGAGGATCCGAGCTCTTTGCTGAAGTCACAGGATTCGGGGGGAGGAGAGAGCAGTGATGGGTGACGTTTCTGGCCGCTGGCAGAATGGACCTCCAGTGGAAACTGAGCGCAGTGACAGGGAAGGAATGAGAGTTACTTTCCTGTCCCTCTGAGTTCTGGGCTGAGGCTCACACCTGCTCTGCAAGACCTCGTCCCTGCAGGCCGCGAGCCCCAGGGGGGCAGGGCCGGTCCACCTCTTTGCCTCCATTTCGTCAGTGCCTCGAGGGGGAGTCCTCAGTCGGTGTGAGCACAGGAGGAGGAAAGATGGCCCAGTGACGGCTCGAGATTGACCTGTAACCCTACTGGCCCGGGTTCACAGGCAGGGAAGCAAGGTCGGGGGCCGGCGTCACTCGCTGGGTGTTCCACAGGGACCTGGACGGGACTTGGACCCAGAGCTCCTGGCTGCAAATGTGCCCTCAAACGTGCTGGTTCCGGGAAGGCGAGCCGGAGAGCCAGGAGTCTCCGCGTGGTCCGCGGAGGGATCGGCAGGTCTGCCCGTCGGCCGCTCTCCAGGGGCTGGGCGCTCTGCTGCTGCTGCTGCTCCTGCTCCGGGTGCGGTGCTGCGGGGACAGACCAGGCTGGAAGCAAGACAGGGGGGTCTCCTCTACGCCCGAAGCGGGTGGGGAGGGGTCACCCAACAGCAGCCACTCGGGCCTCCACCCCTCCGGCAGCAGGCCCCTGTTTGCTCACAGCCGAGCCCCAGGACCCCAAATTTCACAAGAGCCCAAAGTTCACGGAGTCTAAGTCCTCACCCTCCCATCCCCAGTGCTGCCCATTTTACAGATGAAAAGACAGAGGCTTAGGGACAGGAAAGGCCCCATGCGAACCCGAGTGGACCTAGAGCTGCGCTCTGCGAGGCTCCTTGGGACTGAGAGAGAGGAGGGAGAATGGGTGAGGGTAGAGGAGGGAGGAAAGGTGGTGGGGAGGGGCGGAAAGCTCACCACTTCCCCCAGGAAATACTAAGTTGTATTGTCCTGGTGATTGTTAGTGCATGGTGAGTGTGCGCGCGTGTGAGAGTGAGTGTGGGTGTGTGCATGTGTGTGAGTGTCTGTGGGGTTTCCTTTCTCTGACCTCCACAGGATAACCTGAGGCTGACCTCGCTGAGGGAAGGCCAGCTCTGTGACCACAGTCAAGGGCCTGGTGGGCACCTGGCACATGGCAGCAGGTCCCCGGCTGGGGACAGGACGGCTGGGTCTAGTCCCTCCTCTACCAGGTGACATTGAGTGAGTCCTTCAGCTTTTCTGAAGAGCAGGATGAGAGCTGCCCGGCCACCTGGTGGGATTACTGAGGAAGAGCGAGAAGAGGGGTACGGTGGGCACCCCATATGCCTGACGCCGCACTGAGCACTGACACTCACTCTCCTCGGCCTCCCAGCGGCTCCGCGAGGGCCATGCTGCTGCCCCATCTTGCAGGTGAAGAGACAGAGGCTCTGAGGGTTGAGGACTTGCTGAGAGACTCGGGCTAGGAGGTGGGAGTGGCAGGACCCCTCAGGCCTGCCCAGGTGCAAGGCCTCCGCCCTGCCCCTGCCCCTGCCGCCCGCCAGAGGGCTGCGGATGCCCCCGCGACATTCACAGATGTCGGTGTAATGAATTCAACTACGAAGGATCTGAGTCGCGGAGGAGGCCTCAGTGACAGAGCAGCCATTGGACCCGGAGGAAGCCCTGAGGCCTAGCCCTGCGCAGAGTTCTGCCCTGCAGTGTGGTCTCCCAGTCTCTCAGGATGGTGGCGAGGATGGGGCATGGGTGCCCAGCACAGAGGTCACTCCTCTGGGTTTGGTTCACAGGAAGGACTGGCGGACCATACCTGGCACCTGCAAAGTGAGTGCTGCCTCGTCCCTGCTGATGACCCGCCCTGAGCACTTGCTGTCCTCGACACCAGCCCAAACGTCGAGTGAATCTTCACTCACTCAGTCTTCACAACAGCCTACGAGGCAGCATCCCATTATAATTTCCCCTCTGAGATAAAGGATCAGAGGCATGGAGAGGCCATGGGACCTTCCCAAGGTCACACCACACTGATAGAGGAGCTGGGGTCCAACTCCAGGCCGTGCACTCCTGAGACCTTGCTACAGGGCCGCCGAGCTCCTTGTCGCAGCTGATTTCAAGGACAGTGTGGCCTCAGCGGCCAGGGGGAGGGTTCAGGGCAGCAGAGGGCTGGCTGAGTCCGCTGTCCCACCACCAGGCGGAGTCCGAGGAGCCCACAGCTCTGCCCCCTTCCACTTCCCCCTTCCAGACCCGCGATGACGTGGCCTAAGCAGGTTGTCAGCAGCTCTGCGGTGAGAACCTCGGTTCCAGCCAGATGGGGCGACCAGGCCCCACGTCTGTTCCCTGCTCAAGGTTACCAAGCCAGTGGATGGGGAAGGAGTGAACAGAACTGAAGGTATCAGACATCATCCCCCCAGGCCTCGAGCCCTTTGGCGCTCCCCACAACCAGGTGGGCAGGGGAGGGGAGCAGGGGAGGGCTGGGCCTGGGGAAGGACCCAGCTGAGCTCTGTGGGTGTGGTCTGGGCTGTCCCCTGGGCACCCAGAGACCTTAGGAAAGACTGTGCCTCTGTCTCTCTTGGGTAAAGGGTGGGAATGATGCCTGACTTAAGCTGCCTTAAGGAAGGGGGAATTGTGTGTCTCGAGGGACAGTTGATACAGGGAAAGACAAAGGCCGGACTGAGAGATGGGCCCTATGCCACCTCTACCTCGAATTAGCTGTGTGGCCTTAGGTGAGCCACTTCACTTCTCCGAGCCGCCACCTCCTCTTTCGTAACCTGCACATCAAGGTTGTGGGGGGTCCAGAGTGCTCTGTTTCCCTAGGCAGGTGCTTGGCCTTCTAGCATTTCTCCTTGCCGAGTGCGGCATGTACAGGCGTGGGAGGCCCAGGTGCAGAGCCTCCTGCTGCCCCTCCTGCCCCGGCTGGCTGCGTGACTTTGAGGCTCCTCTCTCTGCACCCAGCTTTAGATCCCAGAGGCCAACGCAGCATGTGCTTCTCACCACAGCCCATGAGGTGAGCAAAATAACCCCCATTTCACTGACATGGAAACTGACACTCGGGGACCCAGCCCTAAGCCTAAAGTAGTTCATGGTTTAGAGGGGAAGAAACAAATATAATTCAAATATATAACAAATTAGGGTATTAAAGATGATTATCAGATAACCCCCAATACAGCCACGAAGCAGAAGGCTGCAGGGAGTGGGCCAGGGGCCCACAGAGGGCATCTGAAATAAGCCTTGGGGGATGGGGGCGTTTGCCAGGGGGCAAGGAGCAGGCAGAGGAGCAAAGGCCCAGGGGTGGAGACAGGACTGTCCATCAGGGACTAAGTGTGTGGGAAAGACTAAGGCTGAGGGCAGAGAACCTGGCAGGAGCCAGCTCTTGAAGGTCGAATGTCCGCAAGGAGTTTGGCGTTTATCTTGAGAAGGCAGAGGGGCGGCACTAAAAGGCCCTGCCGAGGCGTCGACGCGGCTGAAACTGTGGGACAGCCCCATCTATCAACGCGGCCCCATCCGGGTTCCTTTTGGAAGAGCAGGGTCCGCAGAGAGCACCTGAGCTCTGCTCAACGCTGTGCCCCAGGCCTCGCTGCAGGATGGACAGCCCTGCCCTCTGGCTGCTGCTCACAGGTGGGGGGGCGGGGAGTTCAAGCTCCGGACGAAAGTAGTGATGGTAAGGCCACTGCCTTTGTACAAACAAGGACAAAGTAGTTGCCTCGGACTAGCTGGGGGAACAGGTCTGCTGCCAAGTTTAGTAACTGACAGATGGCAGCAGCCGAACAAGGAGGGACCTGGGAGAGGTCATTGCAAGGATGGTGCTGGGGGAGGGAGGCTGCCAGTGGGGGCGCCGAGGAGCGAGCCAGGCGCCTGCTCCTCCAGCTGCTCCGCTGGGTAACCGCTTTTTCTCCCTAAACTGTTGCCTGAAAAAAAGGGGGGACGGCCGAGTCCAGTCACAGGGCTGGGAGAGTTTGAACGGGGAAAATATACCCTGTATGCACGTGCATAACGCCTCGCGGTGTACAGAGCAGATGACCTGCCTCGCCCTCTCAGATCCCCGCGGGGACGGGGGGACAGCTGCTGGGTCCGGCTGAGTGCCACGCGCAGGACTGGTGTCTGTGGACACTCCCCCCACGCCAGCTCCGCCACAGCCCTCAGACAGGCGTTGGCGCCCTGATTTATTCTACATCTGTGGGAACTGAAGTCCCGCTGCTAGGAGGTGGCAGAGCCCATAGCTGACCCCAAGATTATCTGAAGGCAAATCACCACATGCCCCCAGGGCAGCAGGCCACCTCCCTCCAGGCATATCACCTGTTGGGGCTCTTCCTGCCCCGCCGGCCTCATGGTCATTTGGAGACCACAGTGGGGTAAATTTCTTAACTTCTCTTAACTTCCGTTTTCTCATATGTAAAATTATAGTTCATATTAGTTCCTCTGACATTGAAAAATTTATATAATGGAAATGAATGGAGTCAAATTAATAAAACAAAATAACTAAAATAAAACGAGTGTTTTCTTTTACATACTGCAGTGCCTGGCACACAGAATGCCACACCCTGGGGCACCCAGGTGCTCCAACGCACTGCTTGCGGCCCGAGTGTCTGGGAAAGAGCAGCTGCGCAGGTCTGTGACCCAGCAGCTCCCGGCCATGGTCACACCCCTAGAGAGGACCGGCACCTGTGCACGAGGAGACGTGTGTGTGAACATTTGATCAGCATGTGGGCGAGAAAAGCGCTGTAAACAATTCCTTGTCTTCCTTCAGGAGAACAGACAGGTGAGCTGAGGTACAGACAGACGCGGAGTAGACTTCATGGTGAAAAGAAGTGACCCACAGCTAGCTTCACCAACATGGCATCGGGTGAAAACCAGGGTCGCTACACAGAATGATACCTTTTATAAAGTTCTAAACCATGCAAGACTAAAAACCCATTGTTTAGGCATGCTTACATGTTTAGTATAACTGTTAAAAAAGACAAATACAGCCCTGCTCGGTTTGGCTCAGAGGTTGGAGCATCAGCCCTCAGACCAAAGAGCCTTGGATTCGATTCCTGTCAAGGGCACATACCTCAGTTTCGGTTCAATCCCCAGTCCTGGTTGGGGTCATGCAGAGGCAGCTAATTGATGTGTCTCTCTCATGTCGATGTTTCTCTCTCTCTCTCTCTCTCCCTCCCTCCCTTCTTCCCTCCCACTCTGTCTTAAAATCAGTGGGAAAATATCCTCGGGTAAGGATTAAAGAAAAAAAGACAAATACAAAATTCAAGCTGATGGTTATTTGTGTGAGGAAGGAGGGTAGGAAGGAGGACAAAGGACTTAAAAGGAATTAATAATATTCTGCTTAAGTTGGGCATTGATTAAATTATTATATATATATTACTTATTGAATATATTTGTATTTCTGACTAATTGATGCATGTATATGCATGCATGTATTGCTGACTAATTAAATTTTTATACAGATGAAATATTTAATAAATAAAATGCATTTATAAAGAGAAATATTTGAGAAGAGAAATTATCTTATTTATCTCTGCTTGTCTGATACCAAGCATGCTTCCTTGCTCATGGTGAGCACTTCCAAAGTTGTTTGTTAAGTGAATAATTGGACACATGAGTGAATGGAAAGTTTTTAGTTCTTAATTCCCCAGTTCACTGCCTGCCATCCACTAACATGCACATTGGCCTGGGGCCAGATGTGTTACTGTTGCAACCCCCCAGAAACAAGTCAAACAAAGCTGGGAGTGTCGCTGGCTCGGTATGGCTCCCCCTCAACACAGTTCACTCAGCCCTCCCTGTTCATTTATGCATCCATCCACTCATTCATCCATTTATGCATACATCCATGTAGCCAATATTTATTGAAAATAAATCCTAGGGAAGATCAATGTAATCTCTTTAGAAGTGAAGTCAATTCCCATCCAAGACAATGATTCTATAGGTGACCACACTGTCTCCCAGACCATCACAGGGCCCCAGCGGATGCAGGGGGTAAGCAAGCATGCCCATGGGACCCTGCTACTCACCTTGGCACACAAAAGAAGAGGGTGTTTCCCCTGGATGGACTCGTCCCGTGATGAATACCACCTTCTGCTCGGCCCCTTCCCGAAGATTGTCTATAAGATCAAATAAAAGAAGGTCGCTAAGGCAGGCAAGGAAAGCTGAAACTCGGGGCTGGTATGTGGGAGGGAGGAAGCAGGAAATGGGATGGGTGCTTTACATTGATCTCTTAAGTCATTGGGTTAGAACCATTAAGGCCCAGCCATTGCTGACTAATTTAATTATGCCCCTGGCTACTCAATATTAAAAGACTACATCCCATTCCTCAATGCAACTGATTATATTAACATTAAAATCATCTCAAGAGGTCACACGAGTGAATAAATCCCAGACCCACTGATTGTGACCCTAGGCAAGTTGTGTATCCATTCTGAGTTTCAATTTGCTGATCTATAAATGTGAATGATGCTATCTACTTCATAGGGTTGTTGTAACGATTAAACAAACATATTGCCTGGTACTCAGTAAATATTCAGTAAATGATGGCGTAAAGAAGGTGGTACTTATGTTAGTAATAGTAGCAGCTGCCCTTCAGTCAGCTCCTTTTGTGTTGGCACATTATTTATAACCCTTACAGAAACAAGCACGTTAATATTCCTTTTCACAGAGGCAGAGACTGCATTTCAGAGAGGTTATACGACTTCTTCAAAATCACACAGGTAATAGGTGGGGGAATGAAGAGATGACCAGGGAGTGGAGAACTGCACAGAGAACTAGGAATCATTTGATTTCCCACCATTTTGAGTTCCCTCACTGATTGTTCAGGCCATCACTAGAGGACCCAGAAGGACCATGACTTAATGGTCCTTCTAGACTGCTCTAAACTAACAAAGTTTAAAAATAAATCTCAAAAGGATCAAACTGAAGAAAAGAAATGGAACTGTCAGTAGGCGAATGGATAAAAAAGCTGTGGTACATATACACAATGGAGTACTATGCAGCTGTAAGAAAGAAAGTCTCTTATCCTTTGAGGCGACATGGAGAGACCTAGAAAGTATTATCCTAAGTGAAACAAGCCAAGCAGAAAAAGACAAATACCACATGATCTCACTTATATACAGAATATAATGAATATAACAGTCTGAGGAATATGGTAGACCCAGAGACGTGGAAGTAGGGTACAGACTGATAACCCTCAGAAGAACTTATATGCATCTTTGCATAACCAATGGACATGGACAACAAAGCCGGGGACGGGGTGGGGGGGGTGGGGAGGAGGGTGTCAATGGGGTAAAAAAGGAGAAACATCTGTAACAAAAATAAAATAAAATAAAATAAAGAAATGGACCTGCCTGCTATATGAAGCTCAACTCTCTTTAAAGGAAGATAACAGAATCCAGACATACAACCATGTAAATTCACAAAATCCAGCATCCAATAAAAAATTATTAGACAAGCAAAAAAGTAGGAAAATATGGCCTTGAATCAGGACCCAAGCTCTTGCTGCCTCTACAGAAGTCTCACTTGTATAAGAACATTTAGCTACTGTGCAAAGATACTACCAGACAAAAGCAGTAGCCAAGAGTGACATTTCTGGAAAGAAGGAGCGAGAGGAGCGTGCTTAGCCATGGGCAGAGGAAGGGCTGATTGGCCCAGAACAGACCAATGACCTGAAGTGAATTCAGAAATGAACTTTGAGAGAAGTTGGAGTAAAGGATTCCGTTCATGTTAGAGGGTGGCCTGGAGGGAGGGGGGCAGTTAGAAATAATGAATAGAATTTCAGCTTCTGAAATGCTAGCGACAGGTTTTTTTGAATGCGGTTCATGATCCCAACTTTTGATACACCGATGTCTGGCCCTAAAATAAAAACTAGTAACTCTATTAAGCCTGGTTCTAAAGACTTGGAACTTGCTTGGTCTGTTGGAGTGACCAGTAGAGATTGAGGTCACTGCTTCCCTAATAATAGGAAAGGCAGCAAGATATACAGTGGGGTCCAAATACGTTTTTGAGCACACTCAGGGTGCACTCAGCGCTGTGTGAGGCAGCGTTAGGAACAAAGGGAGAAAGAGAAGACTCACGTTCTCTAAAGAAGTACGTGCTTTAAAAGAGGAGTTAGACTCCCGAGCTTCTCCCAGACTAAACACAAGCTCCTCGAGGGAGAAACTGTGATGTTCACTGCGTATTTTTAATGTCTTTCCCGGGATCCTGCATGGAGTAGGTGCTTAGAAATTGGCTGTTAAGTCAATAAATAAAAAACCACTCATATAGATAATGATTTATAGAGAAATTTAGACACATATTATCTTCTGTAGTCCTCATCATGCCTCTGTGAGGTGGGGAGTGTTGACCCATTTTACAGGTGAGGGGACTGAGGCTCACAGATGGAAGAGACTTGCCCCAGGCCAGGCAGCTCGCAGGGGAGGTCAAGCCTCAGCTCCCAGCCCGGTGCCCCTTTCACCACCTTATCTGTCTCCTTCTGGGTCCACTAACAAAGTAAGATTCTACACTCTCTGCATTTCCATCTCCAACGTCTGCAAAAGAGTCTGGTTTCATCCCTTATTCCTGGTGGAAATTGAACTACTGTCTTAGTATTTATATTGTTTTTTTTCCTTAATAAAAACAAATGCCACCAAACCCTTTTTAAAAATACTGTCTAACACTGACCCCGTCTATCCCAGCCGTTCAGAATGATAAATGGCATTACCGGGGGCCGGGGTGAAGGCTTTCTTTATGGATGTCTCCCCTGACCCGGTATCAGCTCGATTGCATTCAGCATTTCTGCTGACCGCAGGAAAATGTAAAATGGGCATTCTATTTGCACACTAATTTTACAGAGCCGCTGCATCTTCATAAAACGATAGCGTGGGGCTAATAAACATCAAGCATCTCGGGTGCTAATATAAGCAAATGTTGATGCAGGCAGGTAACAAACGGCTTTGTCATTTAGGGGCCGTAAAAGAGCATTATAATCATCTTTAGGCAAAATGGATGGCTCGCCTTTGCTTAGCTTTCAGCTTTCATTTGCAAAATCAATTTAAGGTAATGTAGAAGCTCTGAGGTGGGGTGACATGGGACCCCCGCTCCTGTCACCGAGTCCCTGGACTTGTGCAAAGCCAATTAAGCATCTTCTTGGAGGAGGCAGCAGGGAGGATGAAGGAAAGACGCTTGAACAAAGCCAGGGTGGAAAACAAGCTGAACAATGAGAACAAAGACAAGGGGCGGTAAACCTGGAAATGCATGGAGGGTGCCACTCAAGGGTGCAGGGCATACTCAGGTGAGCCAGGACAGCCATACCAGGCTCCTTAGTTAGCAGAAGGTGTTTGAAGTCAAATGTGCTTATGTAGCATCTCAGCACACAGGCGCGTGTGCACAAACACACACTCCTTTGTCATCATACCCTTTATCATCATCCACTATGTCCTTATTCATAAAGTATTCATTGAACACCTATTCGGTGGTCAGGCACTAGCTATTATTATCGTCATTTCACAGAAAACAAAGGGTAAGAGACATTCAGTGACTCGTCCTGGCTCTCCCAGCTGATGCTGGCAGAGCCCGAGTCCCCACCGGGCAGTCTGACTCCACACCTGTGTCCTCGGTCTCTGTGCCAGTGTGCCTTGTGAAGGAGGATGGTACCATCCAGTCACGACAGCGATTACATCATGCTTATTTAGTACTTATTCTGCGCCAAGCACTTTGCATACACAATCTGATTGAATTTCCGTGGCAACCCAGTGCAACATCTGCTATGCTTACCCCTATTTCACAGAATAGGAGACTGAGACCCAGAGAGGTCAAATGGCTTGTCTACACCTGAGTAGCAAATGTGGGAGCCAGGATTAAACCGAGGTCTTTATGAACCTCAAATGTATGCTCTTAGCCATGCGTCATATCGTCTCTCGAAGATTATACGGGTCCTTATGGGGGTTTTAAAAATATACTCACACATTCTTGGCTCATCTCCTCCCTTCGAGAGGTGGAGATGAGCGCCTCTCCTCCCCCCTCCCTTGGGCCGCACTCAGAGATGCGCTCTAACGAGGACGCTGCGGAGGTGGTGGTGCCTCACTTTCAGGATTAGGCTGTAACAAGACTGTGGCTTTCATCATGAGTGACTGTCTCTCTCTGGAATCACTCTGTGGATATCTGGGGGTCCAGCTGCCGTGACATGAGACACTCAGGTAGCCTCTGAAGAGGCCCACGTGGGGGGAACTGGAGAATCCAGACCATGGCCAAAACCACATGAGTGAGCTTGGACGGGCCTCCAGTCCCAGTGACTGCAGCCCTGACGGCTGACCACGGCTGCACCTCGTGAGAGACGCAGAGCCAGAACCACCCAGGTAAGCGGCCCCCGCGTTCCTGACCACAGGGACCAAGACAGTGAGTGAGTGTTGTTTTAGATGCTGAATTCTAGAGTAATCTGTCAAGTAGCGGCAGACCGCAAATTAATCGTATCTGTTGATGCCAGCCTCAGTGAGGACCAGAGTCGTGACCTTGGTGCCAAGACGGAGAGCCTCAAGGGTCTGGTCAGTTACCAGGGTCTGAGGTTGGTGGACGTTCTAGAAGATGCCAACAGGCCCCAAGGAGCACTAGTGGGGCTCTCTAAGGACAAAAGTCTCCCAAAAGTTCACAGGATCAGTTTTGCTTCCCTATCTCTCCTGACAATAACTTGTGGGGAGTGAGGTGTTACGCGCAGTGTTTTTTTTTGTTTGTTTGTTTGTTTGTTTTGTTTTTTATATCTAAGCCTTCTTCATTTTCTGAGAAAATGCCTTCATACTGGTTTTTACATCAGACCCGTTGCGGTCTTTTCTCCCCCACTCCAGGGCCCGGAAAGGCCCACACCCTACAAAGCTGGAGAAAAAGAAACCCTGGTGGCCATAAACGCATGGCTAGTGGGCGTCTGTCTGGGCCGCTCAGGGCTGGAACAGCCTTGTCACCGGTCCCCGTCAGCACCGTCCTGGTCAGTCCGTCTTCCACCTGCCGCCGAAGTGGAATTTCAACAGGCAGATGGCGGCGTGCCTCTCCCTTCGCTTCCAGGCCTCAGCAGCTCTCCGTGGCCCCGGGCAGTCCAGCCCCCTTCCCCCGGCATCTCCAGTCTCTGGTCCCTCCACAGACCTGG